TGCACTTGGACAACCCAGGTCAGATCCCTGGCACTTTGTATGGTCCCACTGCCAGGAGTGATCCCTGAGCACAGAGCCAGGGATGAACCCTGAGCACCACCCAGTATGACCAGAAACAACAACAACAAAGAGTTCATGTATGGCTGGGTTGGGCTCTAATATGGAAACTCAACTGCCGAAGACTATTTCCAAGTTCACTTGAGCTTGTTGGCAGAATCAATTTCCTTGTGGTTGTAGGACTAAATACTTCGGTAACTTTTATTTATTTGCTTTTTTGGGCAAGAGACTGCGTATAATTCCTGGAGACTACCTGCATTTCCTGCCACCAAGTCTTCTCCTTAGGCATCTCACATGGGTGGCTTTCTTCTTCAAAGCCTTTAGGAGAGGGAGAGTGAATTTGTGAGCAAGACACTTTTACACAATGTAATAAAAGCTGGACTTGATTGAAAATACTTTTGTTGTATTCTATTGATTAGAAGCAAGTCCCAAATCCTACTAATAGTCAGGGAAAGGATCACGCAAAAATATGAAAACAGGGGTGGGGCAGATACTGAGGGCCCCTGTGGAGTCTGTGGGTTGCCTTAACTTTCCCAGTCCTCATGGTGCAAGATGAGAAGTTTGACTGGAGCTTCGGTTCCTAAGTTACCAAGGCTGAATCATAAGTTCTCTTGCCGGAGACTAGGAATCTGTAATGGTGATGCAAGTATGAAGAAAGGCTGGAATACTTTGTAAATAGATGTGGTAATAGCACAACACCTTGGGTGATGGTGGTACAAGTCTGGTGGTGACAGTATCCTGAAACTTTGCATAATGTGCACTGAGTAGAGCTTGCTTCCTGCCAGTTTCAGAGTCTGATTTGCTAATCCCTGTTCAGTTCTGTGAGCCCTAGATGCTCTTCCCATAAATTCTCCCTTGGACTTAAGATGGTCAGTTTCTTTCTATTGTTATAAGATTCCCTGTCTGTGCAAGACAGAGTCTTATATGATATAACATAGCCATGACGTTAATATAACATCATCGTTGTTGTATTCTACTGATAGTAGGACTGTTGGTAGAATTCAGGGTAGTGGTGAGGTAAGTAAGTGTCAGGGAGAAGGTGAAGTGGGTGGAGACCAGATTTTGTAGGGCCTTGCCAACTCTAATAAGTTTAAATTTCATCTTTAGGGACATGGAAGTCCATGTAACTTTTGTTTGGGTCCACATCTGATAGTGCTCAGGGGGTTGGTACTTGGGGGTTACTCCTGGCTATGCTCAGGGAACCATATGGTGCTGGGAACTGAGCCAGGACTCCAGCAGCAAAGCATGCACTCAGCCCACTGAACTCTCTCTCTCTCTCTCTCTCTCTCTCTGGCTCTCCCTATAACTTTTACATTTTTAAATGTATTAGTTTTTTGATGTTTGGACCATACTCGGAGCACAGAGCTCCCTGATGGTGCTTGGGGGACCATGTGTGGTGCCCAGGACCTGACCCAGGGTTGTTGAGCTACATGGCAAACATCTTAAGTACCTCTTGATCCCTCCACCTTACTTCTTTGTGTGTGTGTGTGTGGGGGGGGAACACACCCTGCAGTGTTCAGGGGTTATTCCTGGCTCTGCATTCAGGAATCATTTCTAGTGGGCTCAGGGGACCATATGGGTTGCCAGGGTTTTTGAACCGTGGTTGGCGGTGTGCAAGGAAAGTGCCTTACCCACTATACAATAACTCAGGCCCCATCATCTGACTTTTTAAACAAGAGAGTAGCATGTTCCATGCCATTTTTAGTTGCCTATTTTTAAAAATAGAAGCTACATATAGCAGTTTTTGGGGGCTTCCAGGGCCATACCTGGCAATGCTGTTGTTCGGGAAGCAAGGAATGTTGATCAAATTCAAGGCCTCACCGTTGTGTCCTACCACTACCTGGTCCCTTCTTGTATATATTTATTTTTACAGACTTTATTGAGGTCGCTTTTGAAGGGGCTGAATGTAGGTTAAACAGTAAGAAGGGTTTCCCAGCCAAGTAGGTGAGAGAAGATAAGGTTTGAGCTGACGTGGTGCCAGTGGGTTGGGAAGAGAAGATGACTGAAGAGATAGTGAAGTGACAGAAGCAAAAGTCCTTGTTCATCCACTGGTAATAGGGATGGGAGGGGAGGGCAGGAATCTAAGAAGACTTTCAAGTTTCAAGTTGAGGCAAATGGCTAGATGGTGGGGAGGAACTGAAATGAAATACAGGAGAAGGCTGTTGAAGGCTGTACCCTACACTGATTGCATCTGTAGGTTCTGGTGCCTGACAGACCTTGGCCTGAGTCCTGGCTCTGCATTTACCGGCTATGCCATATCGAGCACTTTATGGACTTTGAGCCATAGTGTCCTTAACTGAGGAACACAACTGAAGTAATACAACTCACTGCATGTTTATGTATGTAAACAAGAATATGGAAACTGATGAATTGAAGCCAGAGTGTCCAGTAGGTACTCTGTAATGGTAGCTATTACTACTTCTAAAAAAAGAATTTGGGGAGGAGATTCAAGAAAAAATGGGCAAAGTCCTCCTAGAAAGGCTTCTGGGAAAGAACTCTGGTCAACCCCAAAGGAGAAAAATATAATGTTGTAGACTAGCTAAAGCCTGAAGCAGGGCTGAACCACAGACATGTTGTCGAGCAGATGAGTCACTGGAAGTGGCCTGCTGTGCTGCCCAGGCCACAGCTGGAGGCTGTGGTCAGCCTGGATGGGGCTTTAATACTATGACTTCATTGTCAGTGGGGAATCATGGGGATGTTCTGGAAGTCTCTTTGTCCTCTCCATCCCCCTGGAAGGAATTCATGACTTGTTCCTCTTTCATAGGACATTCCACACCCTATCTTATTTTCTGAAAGCATCAGGAAACTGTGGCGATATTTAGAGAAGTCCTAAGTCCTCTCTCTGTTGGCCACTGAGAGAGCCGATACCTGTCACTCCATTTGTTTTGTGTTTGTTTGGGGGGACCCCCCTGGCAGTTCTTAGGAGCCAGGGGCCACTCTCTGCTCCTGTTAGGTTGAGTGATGCAGTGTCACCAGACCAAGAAGTGCTTAGGGAAACCAGGGCAGTATCTATGATCTCCCAGATGAGGGGCTATGGGTGCCAGGATCGAACACGGGGCCCTGGACACGACAGGCATGCACACCAGACCTTTGAGCACCTAGTTCCTATTTCTGTCTTACCTAAAATACAACAACGAGCAGAGCTGCTGCCAAAGCGGGAATGTAAGGATCAGGTGAAGGCTGGCAGGTTCTCAATGAAAAGGCGTGCAGTAATTAATGTTCAATTCATTAAATTTGTTCCTTTGGGGGCCACACCCAAAGGTGCCCGGGGCTTCCTCTTGGCTCTGCTCTCTCAGGGATCATTCCTGGCGGGCTGGAGGGGGAACATATGGGAGTGGCTGGGGATCGAACCTGCCGTGTGTGCAAGGTAAGAGCCCCCACCCCCACCCCCATCCTGCTGTGCTGTCGCTTTGGTCCCTATTCATCAGGGTTTTTTTTTCTATTTTTTTTTCACAACCCGGCGATGCCCAGGGGTTCCTCCTGGCTCTGCACTCAGGAGTCACCCCTGGCGGTGTGCTCAGGGGACCCGATGGGATGCTGCTGGGCCTCGAACCCGGGTCGACCGCGTGCCAGGCAGACGCCCTACCCGTTGTGCTCCAGCCCCTGCCAATAGTATCTGAGTGTGTCTTTTTGCTTTTTTTGGGTCCCACCCGGCGATGCCCAGGAGTCACCCCTGGCGGAGTGCTCAGGGGACCCACCCGATGGGATGCTGCTGGGCCTCGAACCCGGGTCGACCGCGTGCCAGGCAGACGCCCTACCCGTTGTGCTCCAGCCCCTGCCAACAGTATCTGAGTGTGTCTTTTTGCTTTTTTGGGTCCCACCCGGCGATGCCCAGGGGTTCCCCCTGGCTCTGCACTCAGGAGCCACCCCTGGCGGAGTGCTCAGGGGACCCACCCGATGGGATGCTGCTGGGCCTCGAACCCGGGTCGGCCGCGTGCCAGGCAGACGCCCTACCCGTTGTGCTCCAGCCCCTGCCAATAGTATCTGAGTGTGTCTTTTTGCTTTTTTTGGGTCCCACCCGGCGATGCCCAGGAGTCACCCCTGGCGGAGTGCTCAGGGGGCCCACCCGATGGGATGCTGCTGGGCCTCGAACCCGGGTCGACCGCGTGCCAGGCAGACGCCCTACCCGTTGTGCTCCAGCCCCTGCCAATAGTATCTGAGTGTGTCTTTTTGCTTTTTTGGGTCCCACCCGGCGATGCCCAGGGGTTCCCCCTGGCTCTGCACTCAGGAGTCACCCCTGGCGGTGTGCTCAGGGGACCCACCCGATGGGATGCTGCTGGGCCTCGAACCCGGGTCGGCCGCGTGCCGGGTGCACGAACGCCCGACCGGCTGTGCCCTCCTTTTCTTGGCCTCCTTTCTGCTCGCCGGCCCCGTCCCGCGCTCGAGGGTCCCGCGGCCCCGGCCTCCTCCTCCTCCGGGATCCCGGCCCGCGTCATGAATGGAGGCGGCGGCAAAGCATCAATGAGCGGCGGCCGGCCGGAGCCCCGCCCCCTTCCGCTCGGGGCGCGGCGCGGTGGGGCGGGGGCGGGTCCCTCGCGGCCGTTCGTCCTCCGGCGCGTGCGCGGGAAGCCGCGGGCGGGCGGGCGGGCGGGCGGCGCGCGCAGGCGGGGCCGGCAGGGGCGGGGCGGGCGGGCGGCGCGCGGGTGTCCGGCGGGTCGAGCGTGCGCCGGCGGCGAGCGGACACGGCGGCGGCGGCGGCGGCGGCGATGCTGCCGCCCCCGTGAGCTGCGGCGAGGAGGCCGCGGTGCTCGAGGCCCCCGGAGGCGCCGAGCGGGCGGGGCGGCGGCGGCGGGCCGGGCTCGGGGGCCGGGGGCGCCCGCCTGGCCATGCTGGCCGCGGGCGGCGGCGATCGGCGCCGGAGCGCGGCGGCGGCGGCCCGGGGCCGAGCGGGGCCGGGCCGGGTGCGGCGGCGGCGCTGAGGCCCGCGGCGCCCGACTGCGGAGATGAAGCGGAGCCGCGGCCGCGACCGGGCGCAGCCCCCGCCGCCCCCCGCCCGCCGGGGGGACGCGACGACGCGGGCGGCCGAGCTGCCCCCGCCCCCGCCGCAGCCCCTGCCCCTGCCCCTGCCCCCGCGCCGGCGAGCCCCGCCCGGGAGGCAGCGGCCGGAGGAGCGGACCGGGCCCGCGGGGCCCGAGGTCCAGGAGCAGGTAGGGGGCGTCCGGGGGTCCCGGGGGGGAGGGGGCGACCGCGGGCGCCGAGGGGTGGGGACTGGGAGTCGCGCCGGAGGAAAGGGCGCGCTCCGGGCCGGGAAGGCGGGGAGCGGACGGGGGACGCGAGGGCCCGGGGCGGGGCGGAGGAGGGGGCGTCGGAGGCTGGCGGGAGGGTCCTCCGGCGTCCGTGGTCCGTGGGTGGTGGAGGCTGGGGGCGAATGAATCGCAGGTAGCCTCCGAACCGGGGGGCGGCGTGCACCGCGTTAGGGTGGGCAGAGTCGGTCCGATCTGATCGATCGGATCGATCACAGCCTCCCTCCCTTTCCGGACCCCTTTGCAAACGCGGATGGGACTCCCGAGCACTCTCCGATTTGGCCGCGACGAGTCCTGGCGGCGTGTGGTCAGCGTCGCAGCGAAGGCTTCCCGCGAGGTCTTCGTGAGAAAGCACTTTTTTGGCTTTTTTTGAGCACCTGCCCGCGTGCGGCCTCGGTCCCCAGGGGGCGAGCAGAGAGTGTGCGGGCGGCGAGGCTCTTGCCCTCCAGCAGTTGCCCCAGACAGCGCCTTGGCGGGGAAAAACGCCGGCACCCGGGTTCCTGTGGTTTCTGAATGGGTGGCACGTGCTTCTCTGCTCCATTGATCGCGTGTGAATGTGTCTGAATCAGGGGATGCAGGTCGGCGGCCCCGGGGCACCCGCCTTGCCCGCGCGCGCTCGCCGGGCTTTTGTCCCCAGCGCACCCAGAGGAGGAGGGGATAAAGGTCATGCCGTGGCCAGGGAGCAGAATGGGCCGGTTGCAGCTGTGGGACGTTCAGTGAGAGGAGAAGACGAAGTTCTTGATCTGTGGGGATTGCAGGGAAGTGTGTTGTGATCAGGAGCTCAGGTGGCAGGTTCGCTTTTGCACGGCTCTGCTGGGAAACCCAGTGGCTGTCCTGAAGTCTTTGAAGAGGCCGCTGTTAGTTTCCTGCCCTCCCCATCAGGTAGGAATTGTCCTTAGACATTGGTCCTTGTCCCGTCGCTTCGGTGATGTACTTGCTGACAGTTGGATGCGGTGCTGTACTTGCTGACAGTTGGATTCCGCCCCCTTTTATTCTTCAAGCTGTGCTGAGTTCACTGCAGCAGTGGCTGTCTCTGCTCTTGCCTTTAGGCCACTCACCTGTCCTCTTTCCTGATTCTCTCCAGAGGTGTGCAGGACTTACCTGACTCTGTGCTCGGGATCGCTTCTGGTGCTGCTTGGGATCGAACCAGACTCAGCTCCACCTTAATCTTCCTCTAGCCCATTCTATTCTTTTCTTTTTTCTTTTCTCCTTTTTTTTTGAGCCATACCCAGCAGTGCTCAGAGCCCACTGCAGGTTCTGCTCTGGGGCACCTTATTGGGTGCCGGGGATCGAACCTGTGTCAACCAACAGTGTGCCACAAAAGCACTCTCTCTGCGTTACTCTCCCCAGCTCCTAAAATGTTCTTCAATCTTAGGTTGGTTTCTTTTTGTTTTTGGGATACACCTGGGAGTGCTCAGGGCTTACCTCTGACAGGGATTGGGGACCATATCGGGTGCAGAGATGGAACCCAGCTCAGTTTTATGCGAGAAAAGTACTATGTACGAGGCAAGCACTGTGGCTCCAGCCTTCAGGTTTGTTCTTGACTCAGCTTACCTGTCCGGTTGACTTTATTTCATGCTTCAGCAAAGAGCTCAAGGTTACTTCATTTTTCCCTCTCAGAGTTTCTGAGCTCCTTTATCCTGCTACTTCAGCCACGGAGAAAGTGTTTATCTTCCTTTCAGAAACTGATCCCTTCAGGTCCGACCTTGATTTCATCCCTTCACCTGCTGGAGATCTTTGTTATTTCTCTCTTTGTTTTTCTACTTCAAAAGCTTAGCAACACAACACAGTTTCCCTGAATTGTGCAACCCAGCCAGGCCGCTTTGTTTTTTCTTTCACCTACAGCCTTGTTGAAAAATGAGTTAATTCACTTTCTCAGCTTCCTCGCCTTGATATGGCCGTTGTGATTGTGGTTTGCCTTACACCCTGACTCTCCTCAAACTGATGGTCGTCAGTAACTTTGTATTTACTTTTTGTTTTGTTTTTGGGCCACACCTGGCAATGCTCAGGGCTTACCCCTTCTGCCTCCCTGCCCAGGGATCACTTCTGGTGGTGCTCAGGGAACCATATGCAGTACCAGGGATCCAACTGGGATCTACTGTTTGCCTTAATCCCTGTACATCTCTCTAGCCCTGATTACTACACACACACACACACACACACACACACACACACCCCACAGAGTCTGGTGGTGCTCAGGGAACCATATGCAGTACCAGGGATCCAACTGGGATCTACTGTTTGCCTTAATCCCTGTACATCTATCTAGCCCTGATTACTACACACACACACACACACACACACACACACACACACACACACACCACAGAGTCTGGTGGTGCTCAGGGAACCATATGCAGTACCAGGGATCCAACTGGGATCTACTGTTTGCCTTAATCCCTGTACATCTCTCTAGCCCTGATTACTACACACACACACACACACACACACACACACACACACACACCACAGAGTCTGGTGGTGCTCAGGGAACCATATGCAGTACCAGGGATCCAACTGGGATCTACTGTTTGCCTTAATCCCTGTACATCTATCTAGCCCTGATTACTACACACACACACACACACACACACACACACACACACACACCACAGAGTCTGGTGGTGCTCAGGGAACCATATGCAGTACCAGGGATCCAACTGGGATCTACTGTTTGCCTTAATCCCTGTACATCTCTCTAGCCCTGATTACTACACACACACACACACACACACACACACACACACACACACCACAGAGTCTGGTGGTGCTCAGGGAACCATATGCAGTACCAGGGATCCAACTGGGATCTACTGTTTGCCTTAATCCCTGTACATCTCTCTAGCCCTGATTACTACACACACACACACACACACACACACACACACACACACACACCACAGAGTCTGGTGGTGCTCAGGGAACCATATGCAGTACCAGGGATCCAACTGGGATCTACTGTTTGCCTTAATCCCTGTACATCTCTCTAGCCCTGATTACTACACACACACACACACACACACACACACACACACACACACACCACAGAGTCTGGTGGTGCTCAGGGAACCATATGCAGTACCAGGGATCCAACTGGGATCTACTGTTTGCCTTAATCCCTGTACATCTATCTAGCCCTGATTACTACACACACACACACACACACACACACACACACACACACACCACAGAGTCTGGTGGTGCTCAGGGAACCATATGCAGTACCAGGGATCCAACTGGGATCTACTGTTTGCCTTAATCCCTGTACATCTATCTAGCCCTGATTACTACACACACACACACACACACACACACACACACACCACAGAGTCTGGTGGTGCTCAGGGAACCATATGCAGTACCAGGGATCCAACTGGGATCTACTGTTTGCCTTAATCCCTGTACATCTCTCTAGCCCTGATTACTACACACACACACACACACACACACACACACACACACACACACCACAGAGTCTGGTGGTGCTCAGGGAACCATATGCAGTACCAGGGATCCAACTGGGATCTACTGTTTGCCTTAATCCCTGTACATCTATCTAGCCCTGATTACTACACACACACACACACACACACACACACACACACACACCACAGAGTCTGGTGGTGCTCAGGGAACCATATGCAGTACCAGGGATCCAACTGGGATCTACTGTTTGCCTTAATCCCTGTACATCTATCTAGCCCTGATTACTACACACACACACACACACACACACACACACACACACACACCCCACAGAGTCTGGTGGTGCTCAGGGAACCATATGCAGTACCAGGGATCCAACTGGGATCTACTGTTTGCCTTAATCCCTGTACATCTATCTAGCCCTGATTACTACACACACACACACACACACACACACACACACACCACAGAGTCTGGTGGTGCTCAGGGAACCATATGCAGTACCAGGGATCCAACTGGGATCTACTGTTTGCCTTAATCCCTGTACATCTATCTAGCCCTGATTACTACACACACACACACACACACACACACACACACACACACACACACACCACAGAGTCTGGTGGTGCTCAGGGAACCATATGCAGTACCAGGGATCCAACTGGGATCTACTGTTTGCCTTAATCCCTGTACATCTCTCTAGCCCTGATTACTACACACACACACACACACACACACACACGCACACACACCACAGAGTCTATAACTTCCTTACAGAAGTTATGCTATACATTGATGGTTTCTTTCATTCAGCCCTTACCATTTTCAGAATGAATACACCCATGTGACCACCTATTAGGTCACCATATAGTGTATTTCCAGGATCCTAGAATGCTTTGTGCTTTTTCCACTTGTTATTTTTTTCCGAGATGACCACTCTCCTGTCCTCTTTCACCATGGATTAGTTTTGCCTTTTCTTGAATTTTGTATAAATGAATCATGCAGTTGATGAAACATTCTCCTTGTAGAATAATCCATCTTCCTTCCTTCCTTCCTTCCTTCCTTCCTTCCTTCCTTCCTTCCTTCCTTCCTTCCTCCCTCCCTCCCTCCCTCCCTCCCTCCCTCCCTCCCTCTCTGTCTCTTTCCCTCCCTTCCTCCCTCCGTCTTTCCCTCCCTCCCTTTCTCTTTTCTCTTCCTCTCTACCCCTCCCTCTCTTTTTTTGCCACACCTGAGGCAATGCTGAGGGCTTACTCCTGGCTCTGCACTCTGGAATTACTCTTGGTGGTGCTCTGGGAACCATGTGGGGTTCTGGAGATTGAACCAGGGTCTGCGGCATGCAAGGCAAGAGCCTTAGCCACTGTAACTGTCACTCTGGCCTCAAATCCGCCTTTTTCTTAGCCCTGTTTCCTTTTAACATTTCTAAGCCTCTTCCAACATAGACTCTGATCAATTGTGGTTTTTTTCAAAAGATATTT